CTAGAGAAGAACAGTTGAAACAGGAAGTAACTAGTTTCATAAGGGTTTGTGTGAGAGAGGTAGACAGTTGGCAGGAGGAGACAGAGAAAGGCGAGCATTTTCACTTTTGGGATAGCAGTTCTGACAGTGTAAGGTGTTTAGTGTTCTACAGGTCAATACAAAAAGGGGGGTTTGTTTGGGTTTTTTTTGTTGTGATGTCTTCAAGTTATATGCAGAGAAGTATTTGAGCCTTCAAATGTATGCATACCTTTTAAGTGTTCCCTACTCTTGAGTGGGAATACATGGTAAGTAAATGTTTACCAGTTTAAAAATACCTATAATCACGTTTCTGTGATCCCAACACACAGAGTAAAATTATTATTATAGCCCTCAAATTTGAAAATATTAACTTGGTTCTATGGAAATTGCTTTTTACGTGTTCTTCTTCCTTTTTTTCAGGTCTTTGTTAATCAGTGGCTGAGATTCGAGTTTGTAGTTTTGTAGCACAAAACCCAGCCTAGACTGAATTGGGCTTTTTTAAGATCTGTCATTAATTTTTTTTAATAAATCTAGGAATGTAATGACAGGGTTCATTTATAAGTTGATAGACGTTACAGTTTTTGATTTTACTTTTTCCCTTTGCAAGCACGAAGCCCATGCCAGTTTTCCATTTGACAAAGGTAATTTAGAACTTTTTACAGAACACCCAGGTACGTTTTCTGAGATGGGTGTTACACTGAGGCAGGATAACACTCCCAACAATTTCCAGGTAGGATGCTGAAAGTTCCAGGGATTTACAACCAGGGTCCTTGGTATTTTGCTCCTGGGTGTGCCTGAAGCAGTGCAGCCGTGAGTGAAAGCTGCAGCTCTCTGACAGCTGTAGAATGACCCGGGTGGGGTGAGTCAGTGACATCAAACCCAGTCTGCACCAATATCCTCGTTGCAGCTGGTGCTACTTGGCACCCCTGATGGAGTCTCAGCAGAGAATCAAAGCACCAGGTTGGTCTCCTTGTTTGATGTGCAGTGGCAAGAGTTAGCTGAAAAACTTTTTTTTTTTTTTCGATTCTCTCGAAGAAACCATTGATTCTGGTTGAGTGGGAGGTGGTTTTCACTGTTGGCACGTCGTCATCATGACTTTCTATGTATTCATACATAGATCAAGAAAGATCAAGAGCAAGTATTATTATATAAACATAAAAAAATGCTAAAGCACCATCAAAAGCATAATCACACATTTCTGTGAAATTACCGGAATGATTGATGTCACATCAGTCTCTGTGACAATGGAGAAAAATTAGATGAGACAAAAGATTTTGTTTGTTTTGTAGAAGCTATGTTCAGCTTTAATTTTTTCCTGTGTTTATCCCTCTCAACTTAGTAAAATAAAAAATAAATATTTTTATAAAGGGATGTAAAAACCAGAGATTAACTGAAATCTGTAGAGTCTGAAATACTTTAGGAGACTTTGAACTCTTTGTCATTCTGCTCTTTCATATAGTTGAGAAGTGTGGATGGAGTGCTGTCTAGCAGAATTACTGTGCTATGTGTCATAGTAAAATATAATAAAATACTGTGTTATGACCTGAACAAAGGGCCCTGAACCCAACATTCTGTTTGTTTTCCAACTGTGTTATTTTCCAAGGATTCTGCAAGCTTTTGAAGTTGCTGTGCAAGAAAATGTATTAAGGCCCCAACAACGTATGTAGCAGCTGAAATAACTTTTTATTCTTCATAAAATGGGCTGTATTGTCCATGTTCCCAGTGTTCTTTTAAAACCTTAGATAATGTTTTCTTGTAGAATGTCAAGATTAATGAAGAGGGAGCGAGCATGTTGAATATATTGAGAAGTTAGAGATTGCTTGTCTGTAGCAGTTGGGAATTTATCAAACAATTACCATGCTATTACCCCATACAGGCACACCCCAAATGAGAGCTAACATGACAGGAATTTTCTGCTTTTTTACATCCTCAGACCATAATCTCTGAAATTGCCTTAGATTTCTGCATCGGTATCTTCAAGTCATTAAATATTAAACCCTGCAAATTTTGTTTCTCCATTTATAAGAGAGAAGCTAAAAGTTCTTTGCAGTTGTTTTACGTTTCTAAAATATTCTGAATATGTAAAGTGCTGTTCAAGTACTAAGTTTAAATATTTTCTCCTAAGCAAGACAATTGGATTTAGTTAGATTGTAACCTTCAAAGATTGCCTAAAATGATTACAGTGCTCTCTATAACAGATTTTCACCCTCGGTAAGTGTGGTCATAGAACATAAATCTTCTTTTGCCCAAAGAAAACACTGGAAAAAGAAGGTGGAATGAATTCTGCATACCTGGGTAGAGCAGAAGGCATGTGACTCTAGGAAATAAAATTTTTTTTTTCAACGTAGTTTATTATTTAACAGTTTATCATTTATTATTTATTTGAGGTTATTCTGTAAAGCGAATTTACAGATGATGTAACTAAAAACCTGAAGGCAAAAGGAAGTTGAGGCTGAAGTAGGAATTTTTAGAGGAAATCATGTGTGTAAGAGGCAGTTTTTATTTGGACATAGGCATAAAGAGTGGTAGGCTAGAAAAGAGTTTTATTATGTTCTAATATGTGTTCTGAATGCTTGGTAAAATATTTTACTTTAAATAAATGTGTGTCATGCTTATAATCTAATAGATTAGTCCTTGTCATCATTATCATCATTGTTACTATCCTGTCTAAAAAAGAGTTGGTATTTGTATTTCCTTTCATAAGGTAATAAATCTTTCATAGTTGTGTACTTGGTTTGATTAATTGAAGTGTATGAGATAGCCAAGATGCTTAAAATTGTGTCTTCTGTTCCACAGAGAAATAGGAATTCAGAGAACTGGCCTGACCATTGTGATATAGTCATTATAAACTCATGAAAACCATCTGGTTTTAGTAAGGAATTATATTCACCAAGATGCCTATATGCACTATTGGTACACACAAGGCAGTGTATAACAAAACACCTTATGTACAGAAGCTATAATTTCACACAGCTGAAAGTATGACATCAAAATGTCAGCCTAATTATCTTTCAATCTCCAAAACATTTGCAAACTCCAAAATATTTTCCAGCTGAAGCATCTCTCTACCGAAGAGTAAATTTCAACTTACTTCAAGTATTCTTCTTTTTTAATTAGGTTTTTCTAATCACAAAAGTTTGGCAGGCCACAGATCAAAAGCTGTCCCAAACATCTTAGTTATCCACATACTTGTGACCGTTTTAAAGAAATGTAATAAAACGTCTCACAGTAAATAAATATTTTTCAGAATAGTTTTTCAGATATGTTGGTAGCACAGTAGAGCACTAGTTCAGAGCTGCTGACATGGATTACTGTCTACTGGGCAACCAGACAATGGCAATTTACCTTTTTTCCTAGGTCTCGTTTATTTTCATGTCCCACATATGGAATTTTAAAGTTCATTCGTTTGCACGAGCCATAAAGTTAGAAACACTGCCCAGCTGGAAAAAGTGCTACAGATTTTCAAGAAAATTCCTCTGATTATATTGAGGGGAAATACAATCTCAAAACTATAACTAGGTAGCTTAAATTGGTTTAAATATGTTAAGTGGATCATTGTGCTTTTCAGGAACTGTCAGTTCTTATTAAGCTGAGTAGACGTATTCAGTTATGTGCTGGACAGTAATCAATTCAAAATTGTGTGTGTGATCATGATATCCCTCATGGAATTTGTTCATTCACACTGTTTCCTGGGTTTTGTGCTACGTTCAATAGTTCTGCTCTAACGAGGAGAACATTGTGAGGCTGAACGTTCTTCCATATGGTTGGGCTTATAATATCTTCTTTTTAAAGGAGCTGTTTGTCTCCACTGGAAGCAGTGGCTTCTTGGTAGAGACAGAAATATGTTGTATTTTGCAGGTACTGCTTAAAAATGCAGCAACACATTGGCTAATCTTTTCACATCTGTAAAATTCATTGAGATTTTGAGAGGCAGATAAAATACATAATTGTAAGTCACCTTATACGTAAGCAAAAATCAAAAATCCAGGTTTAGACACTCAAGAAGTCATTGGACACCTCAGAGATCATAGAATCGCAGAATATCCTGAGTTGGAAGGGACCCACAAGGATCATCAAAGTCCAACTCCTGACCCTGCACAGAACAGCCCCAAGTGTCACCCCATGTGCCTGAGAGCATTGTCCAAATGCTTCTTGAGCCCTGTCAGCCTTGGTGCTGTGGCCACTTCCCTGGGGAGCCTGTTCCAGTGCCCAGCCACCCTCAGTGCAGTCGGCCCCTGGAACATGTGGGGAAGCAGATTTGTCATCTTCTCCCTTGCCATGCCACTTTTCTGTCTCGTTATGGGAATATTAAGCAAGAACCATTTTAAATCTAAGAAAGGACACTAAGCACAAAAGGGCATGTAAAACTACTCTCCCTAGTGATTAGGTGCCTGAATGCAAACTACACTGAAGTGTTTTTCCCTGCTTATGATCCAGTGCACCTCATTTGCCCATTCATTTTTAAAATGGCAAATACCACTAAGAAGGTGTTTGTCCCATGGCAGGAACTTGGGATGTTTTCCCTGGTAGGTAAATATTAACCACAAGGTTGTGCGGTTCTGTTCCATCTTATCTGCTTCTCTAGGCCCAATATCTGTTCCTCCTTTTTTTGGACTTTGTCCTCACTTGACTGAGGGCCTTGCTTAGCAGGGCAGGTACCTTGGTGGTCAGGGCATTCCTGCTGAAAGGTGTCCTTTGAGTTCCTGCATACTGAAAAAATTAAATTTTAGTCAGATTTCCATTTTTTTTTGAGATCAAGCAGGAAGGGAGTAAAGAGTTAAAGAAGCTCAAGTAGTCACTGAGGGGTGGTTTGGACCAGTTTTCAATGTTGGCATATGAAAAGTACATGAACTATTACTTTGAGAATAGCCCTATTGCTTCTGAGGCAGGTTGAGTGCTATTATCTAATTCCTGCTACGTAAGGGGGAGAGATGTGTTGTTATAATTAAACTCAAAGTTATTTGTTTGTTACTTTCTTACAGGAAACAGATTCAACCTCTTCTAGGACTGTTTAGCCAGTCAGAGGCTTTGTTACTCTCGTCTGGGGTTGAGCCAGGGACTCTGGATGGAGTTCTCCTGGATGCTGGCTGTTCTTCCATGCAATTTGATACACCCGAAAGAGGTTTTTCCCTGCAGAAGGATGGACCTTTGGACATGAGGATGGATAGTGACAGGTACATGATAATATTTCTTGAAACTCAAAACCTGTCTGCTCAGCAACCCCTGTGCTTTTCATTTCCCTTTAAACTGAAGAATTCCCATCATCAAACCACATCCAATTTTGCACGAGTATACTTTTTTTCTTTTCCCAAAAAGCTTTTTTCCGTCTCAGTGCTCAGCCCTGGTTATCATCTTTGCCTCCTTTGAAATAAGAGGAAAGTTCCCGTGATGAGTAATTAAACCAGTAACATTTTTGTGTACCTCTACCATTGAATTTTAACATTTTTGGAGTGTGTGATGTACAGTCACAGGGACATCTCCCTTTCAGAGGCCTGTTATTTCCCCAGTTTCTCAGCTTGTACTTGATCTGCAGGCACACAATTTCTTACTGCAGCCCCTTTCCTGCCACGCTTACTGTTTGTGGGAACTTCACTGGAGCAGTTTCAGTTGCTTCCTCAGGAAAGGGGCAGTGTCCTTCTTTTGTGCAATGACTGTCTTACCCAGTTGCTTCTCTCTAAAAGGAATGCAATCTAAAATAAATAAATAAACAAACCCCTATCTATTATATCTGCCATTTTAAATCAGATTGCTACATTGCTTTTAGCACGCTAGTATAATGTTGTTTTCCCTGCCCATAGATTTATTGTAAGCTTCCCTTAGCAAAATCATAAGCTTCCTTTCACATTGTGTGGGAGGCACATCAGGTTTACTTAATTGTCAAATTAACGATTACTGAATAAACCACCTGTGTTTAAACTATTTGGATTGGTATTAAGTACTTTCAAGAGCATGAAAATCAGTGGTGGAATGATAATTTCTACTTATGCAGTGGTTATCGTTTTCAAACAAGCCGATGTATTTCTGAAGCATTTTGCTTTTTACATGAGCAACCAAAGATCTCTCTTGTATAGATGCTGGCTGTTGTTGCATGATGCAATACTGGGAGAATGACAGGTTTTTTTCTTGGTGTTTTAATGGACCTGGAGTCTTAAGAAGTGCCGTTTGCTTTTTTCATTGCTCACAGGGAGCCAATGGGAAGCCCCAATTTCTAAGGAATTGGCTTACCACATTAATGTTATGTCTTAACGCAGCAAATTTCATGATACTTGCTTTTTCTGGTTTTGTGCAAAATGCTCCCGTGATCCTCCTGGGATTCAGTCCTCAGATTTCAAGAATCTGAACTCCAGGCTTAAATATAAGCCTGATGCATCATGAGAAAACATACATTGAACAAGAGCATAAGAACAAAGGGTACCTGAGGCATAACAAAAGCCTTACACTATGGTTGTTGCTATGATACTACTTGCCTCTAAGTTTTGTTATCTTTTGTAAGATACTGCAGGGGAGTAAAAAATGCCTGAAAAATTTTCTGCTAAATCATGTCTTTTTAGAAGAGAATTTATTAAGTGGTTTATATGTTTCGTCTGATTAGTGAACCCATAGATGATGTTCATAAAATACCTTGGAACTATTTCAATAGCAAAGTTAAAGAGATTTCGATATATAGATGTGAAGATTATACTGTTTAAATTGCAATAATTCCTGTAATTTGTATAGGTCATTTCTATTATGTCAGAACAGTATGTGGATATAAATTCTTATGCCTTTTAGTGAAAAGTAAGATTTAATTATTTTCATTAGCAATTGTTTTCATAGCAGAAAAGGTCCTTGAAATCAGTTCTAACTAGAAAACAACATACGATGCAAGGTGACTAAAATGAACCCGTGAGAGGCCAGTTTATATTCTAAAGCTGGCTGAAGAAAAAGGTCACACAGCATTTCCATCTTAGCACGATACCGAAATATTCTTGTCGCCTTATTAAACATAGCTCATGATAATACTTAGAAGCTAAAGCCGTTCTAATTGAAGTTAAGGAACAAACTCCATTTGGAGCGGCGAGGAAAAAAAAAAAGGATTTAAAAGGTGCAAGCTGTTTTCCCAGGGTTGCCACCTCAAAGGCACTTGTGTGCCGTGTGTGTGTGTGTGTGTTTGACTTTGTGTCCCAACGCTATGGAGCTTCACCCCTTGTCAATGAAGGCTGACGTCAGCGGGCTAATTGGCCGCTCTCGTGCGTAGGTACCCTGACATGCCCACTGCCGCCGATGTTGTGAACGCTTTGGATCAACAGGCGCTTGCGTCCATCCTCAGAGCGTACGGGGAGGAGAGGCACGCCAAGAAAATCGCCTCAGCCATCGTTCAGGCACGCAGCATATACCCCATCACCAGAACCCAGCAGCTCGCAAGCATTGTTGCAGGTACCCTCATTAATTCTCCGCAGCGGCCGAGGAGAGGGAAAAAAAAAAAATATTAATCCCCGAGTCCCAGAGGGATCTATTTGTACTTGAAATCATGCAGGATCTAATCCTGCCTGTTCTGCTCTGATGTCAGCTCTCTTTTTCTCTTTTTCTTTTTTTTTTTGTATTGTGGTTTGACAATTAGTTTAATAATAGATTTTACATGGAGCGATTTATCATTTTGCCAACGAAGTTGAACCGCAGAATGACAGCAGCCTAGGGTGTTCTTTATCCTGGCTGTTGACAAACCTTCAAATATCAGATATGTCATACCTCATTTAGCTTTAAATTTCTGCATTTTAATATTTTGAGGGGAGGTACCAAAGCAGTTTCCAATTATGAGTGAAATCAAGTGATTTCTGTCTTTTTAAAGGATCAGAAGCACAAAGCAAAGCAATACATGGCTTGCTTCACCTTGTGCATGTCAACTAAATCAGCCTGAAGCGACTATTGAAACACTCCATCTTACTTGCTTCTCTCTGTAAACAACCTGAACAAAATGCAGTTAGGCAGGAACAGTGCTGGCATCAAGAACCTTCACGTTTGTGTTGTCAAGTGAAAATTTTCAAGGAAAAATGTAAGACACAAATCCTGCTCATTAACACTCTAATGCATAATCTCAGGATGTTTGTTTCTTTTTAACCAGTTAATGAAAATCACTGGATCTCATCACAAATAAGTCTAAATTTCTGACTTTCAATATAGACCTTTAAAATGATAATCCAAATTTAACATTTGCTTAAGAACAGGGTAAAATATTTTATAAGTATCCTGAAGAGTCCTAAAAAATTTATTGTATTCTTAAAAATTAGTGTTACTTAAACTGGAAGTTTAAGGCACTTACTTTTAATGACCAACAAATTAAAAGGTTTGGATTTGTAGAAGTCAGGACACTTTAACAAAATGTCCAGTCAACTGAGTCCCAAAGTTTGGCTGATATGATAAAAGGACCTGAAGTGCTTGCTGTTGGAAGCCATTACTGTAAATACAGTAAATATGAGGAGCGAATAATTTAAAAAAAATCAAAGAGATAAACCACTGTGAGTCTTTTATAAAGCTTACGTTTTTAACATCATCATTATCAACCTCACAAAATAATAATTTCAGGCTTTATCATGTGTAACTTATGCTTTTTGAAAAGCTGTTGATTAAGACAGCATACCACTATTGAGACTGAAGCAACCACATCGCTGTGTTAAAGATGTCATGTGTTATACATTGTAAACAAGCAGCTCAGTAACTTCTGAAACTAGTGTATAAAAGACAGTGATTAAAGATCCCTTCATGTTTAATGTGGTGCATATGAGTCATCACTTAATGGTCACTTTCTGTGACAATGAGAAGGACTTTTTTGTTCTCATTTTAAATTCTCTGCTGTATTTGAAGAGCTTCCTGATACATTAGTCATGTATGCATCAGGTAGGGTACATACCCGAAACAGTGAATCCAGCACACATCTGCCAAGACAATAAATATATATGTTTTGTCTGCTTTTTTTGGAGTATGCAAGTCATTATAGTAATTTTAGGGTTGTTACACTGATCCCCGTTTGCACAGAACTTCTTCCAAATTTAGTTTGATTCATCCAGCAAAGGAGAACAATGGTGATTGTATCTGGTTTTGAACTGATTATACCTCAACAAAATTTTTGATAACTGTAATGTATTTTGATTAATTTCATCTATCATCCATATATATGCTTATGTGAAATTATTGACATAAACAAGAGCTGAAGTGCCAGAGACCACAGCTACAGGAACCTCTCAGTGGCACAGCCCAAAAAACCCCTGACTAATTCAGGACTTAACCAGAATAAAATTTATGACCTATTAGTTAAATGTCACGTCCTTTAAAAAATAAGATATTAATTAGAATAATAAAATCTTGCATTTTAGATTTTGCAGATTCTATGCAAGCCTGATCATCTTCCAGAACAGGGTCATTATTTTTGCCTATATAGGAATCAGAAAACAAACAAAAAATCTGTCCAGTGAAGCTGGCTATTTATGTCTTCTTCTCTGGTGGTGTCAGAATCTGATATTTATGTATTGTGCATATTTCTTTCACATGTGGCTTCAGATTTTCTAGAGCTCCCTAGTTTTTGTCTCAAGGTCCAGCCGATAACCAGAATCACAGTGAATCTAGATTCCAAAATTGGAAAATTTAATTTCTTTTTATAGAATGCTAGACTTCTGGTCTTTCCTACCACCCCCCAAGAGGTTAGAACGTGTGTTGCTGTTGCTAATTGATTGGGAGATAAAAGTGGAGGATGTAGTTAAAAAAATCCACAAAACAGCCATACAAACCACAGCTGCACAACACAGAGCAATCAGATATTTCTAAAGTTTGCATAAGCAAGAGTTCTACTTGTAAGGTATAGCTGTGAAAAATATATAAATAGATTTGTGTGTCAAGATTGACTACAACAATTTGGGGCTAACTCAGGTATCCAAGTGATTTCTTGCTCTCCTTTGTTCCAATTGAAGAAAGTAATTCTTTCTATATCTTGACATAGCGCCTGAAAATTCTCTCTCTGTCTACATCCTATGCCAGTGCATAAGGTCCTGAAAAAAAAGATTAAAATTTGGCTATTTTTTTTTTTTTTTAATTTTTCCAAATGTTCTCCAGAAGGCTTCTGATCCATTTAAGTAAGATCTCTGCGAGCTGTGGAGCCTGCAGTTTACGTGTGAGAAAGGAGGAGTTTTCTGTTCACTCACGTGCACAGCATCTCTTCTGCAGCACAGTGGAGCTCCGCTGGCTGTTTGTAATTTCCACAAAGCTCTCTGCAATGCTGAACGCTCTGTAAATACTAAAGAGCAGCAGTTCTCCACTGAAGGGCAGCGAATCGATGTGTGGAAGTTGATTATGAAGGGCTTGCTGAGGTCTTTTGTTGTGCCTCATTGAGTTATTTGAAAACAACAGGTTTAACTCCGTGTGCAGAAAAACTTTAAAAATAGTAAAATTTTTCAAATGTAATTTTGATATGCTTTTCCTGTACATCTGATGATCTATTTTGATTTCTTTTCAGTGAGCAATGTACTTTGTTATCTATTAACTTTTGTCCAAAAATTAATTTTTCTGAGCATTATTTAGATACCTAATCTATTAACAGATCATTTTGAGATCATGTCATCGTTTGACCTTAGCTTGAAAGGAGTTCATGATGAGATACTAAAGAAATTTATAAAGTTTAAAAAGAACTTGAATGTTTAAAGTCAGTCTCATTCAGACTGGTTCACATTTATAGACTTTAATTATCAGTTTGGAATTTGTAATATTGCCTGGATTTCAGATGGGTGAGAATTAACACTGTACTGAGGGAGCCCAGACAAAAGGACATTAGTTGCGTCACAGAAACTTATTAAATGCAATGCTAATTCAACAGACGAATTCCTGCAAACAGGTGCACGGTCTGAATTAATTTTTAAACTCTCCCACTCTCATACACTCTGGGGACTTTAATAGTTCATATTGACAGGCACAGCATGTTGCTAATTTCATTCACAAGCTTTTAAAATTTCAATACATTTCAACATGTGAATCTATTAGATTTTTAAAAGTGTAAGTATCATCAAGGCATCCTAAAACTAAAAATGATAATTTCTCTCACTGGAATTTCAAGCCAGTCATCTAGCCAGAAGCGTGATGTTTTTATGAATGAAATTCATTTTACAAACTTCCCATACAGATTTTTTTTTTTTTTTGAATGTTTTTGTACATTGTACAGCCAGTTACCAGGAAGGATTTTCTTTTAGTGTCTTGGTAATTGGAGAGGGCTAGGTGAGAGATATTATGCCTTAGCAGAAAGCATAAATAGCTTTTTATTTGACTATACCAGAGGAGTAAGAGTGATAGGAAAATTTTTCACCCGTGGATCATAGATCAAAATCCACTGCCTTTACTAAAATGATGAAGGCCAGAGTGACAGGAATAACTACCACAGATTACATTTATTAGTTAATCCCAGTCTCTGACCACAGACTAGTAAATCTTTGAACTTGTAAATAGTTTGATTTTTAGTTTAGAGGATTTACTTGCATAAAGCTGCAAAAAGTGACTGCATTTCTTTACAAATTTCCTGAATATTGATATTCTGTACTGTTAAATATGACCTGCAGTGCTCTTTGTGCATGTCCAACTGAGGCATGTAAGGTTGTATGATACTTACTGAATATATCTGGGTTTTAATTTTTTTTTTTTTTTCAGTTTGTGATAAATTAACTCGCAGTAATAAATTAATGTCACAGTTAATTGTCATAGAAGATTATTGCAGGAAGACAGTGCACTCAACAGCCGTGGCAGGATAAGTAGAAGAACTTCCCAAAGACCTGTTAGTGTCCTAGTCGTGCTGGTCGCCTCTGTATCGTTGTTCTTTTGTTTATCTATGCAATGTTTCAATTGCAAAATAATGGTGTTTGTGATCAGACTGATGGAAATCTGCCCAGATATCAGCATGCTGTGTCCATTTATGTTTTTACAAAACCCTTTGAAGTAGATCATAGAATCATGGAATGCTTTGGGCTGGAAGGGACCTTAAAGGTCACCAAGTTTCAGCGCCCATGCCGTGTGCAGGGACGCCTTTCACTACATCAGGTTGCTTAAAGCCCCATCCAGCCTGGCCTTTAACATTTCCAGGAGTGGGGCTTCCACAACTTCTCTGGGCAACGTGTTCCAGTGCTTCACCATGCTCACCAGTGAAGAATTTCTTCTTGATATCTAATCTAAACCTACTCTCTTTCAATTTGAAGCCACTCCCCCTTGTCCTGTCACTGCATGCCCTTGTAAAAAGTCCCTCTCCAGCTCTCATGTAACCCCCTTTAGGTACTGGAAAGCTGCTGGAAGGTCACCCTGGAGCCTTCTCCAGGTTGAACAGCCCCAACTCTTTCTATCTGTCTTCATAGGATACTCAGCCCTCTGAGCATCTTCATGGCCTCCTCTGGACGTGCTCCAGCAGGCCCCTGTCCCCAGAGCTGGATGCAGTGCTCCAGGTGGGATCTCACCAGAGCAGAGTAGAGGGGCAGAATTCCCTCCCTCCACCTGCTGCCCGTGGTGCTTTGGATGCAGCCCAGGGCACATTTGACTTTTTGGGCTGCGAGTGCACGTTGCCAGGTCATGTCAAGCTTCTCATCCGCCAACATGTCCAAGTCTTTCTCCTCAGGACTGCTCTCAATCCATTCGCTGCCCAGCCTTCATTTGTGCTTGGGTTGGCTCCAACCCAAGGGCAGGGCCTTGCTCTTGGCCTTGTTGAACTTCATGAGGCTCTCACGGGCCCATCTCAAGCTTGTCAAGGTCCATCCGGGTGTCATTCCTTCACTCCAGCGTGTCAACCCCTGCACACAGCTCAGTGGTGGTGTCAGACTTGCTGAGGCTACACTCAATGCCACTGTCCATGTGGCCACCACAGGTGTTAAAGTGCCAGTCCCTGCACTGACCCCCTGAGGGATGCCTCTTATCACCAGTCTCCACTTGGGTACGGAGACATTGGCTGCAACTGTTCTCAGTGCGACCATCCAGCCAGTTTCATGTGCACCAAGTGGTCTGTCCATCAAATCTGTGTCTCTCCAGTTTAGAGACGAGGATGTCATAGATCTTCGTATCATTCTTGTTTTTTTCAGATGAGTAAAAGATGCTTTACTGACATAGGAGGTAAAACTCTCAGTATTTTACTAAAATTCCTGAGAGATTGGCTGTGGAGATTTAAACAGAGGATCTCATTCCAGGTTTCTGTTTTTATGGTTGGGTCCCAATCAAGAAGCAGTGTCAGTTTTGTACCTAAATTACATGCTGTACTCTTGTGGATTAGCTCCATTTTTATCTGTGATACTTTTGGAAGCTAAAATACTCTTAGAATATCAGAAATGGATCATCCCCAGAAAACCAGCAGTATTTTTAGAAAATACTTAGACTGCTAAAATATGGTGGTTAAAAATTCTGGATCTGCTTTGAGAGGTGAACACCAGCTCTGGGTAGTAAGAGTCCAAAATTGAATGTATAAAACCGATGCTCTTTGAGTCACAGCTGTAAATTGTTCGGGAAGGGGCAGGATCACTACAGGCAGAATCAAAAAACACACCTTGTTTTCTAACCCACTAGCTTGGTAGTAGCCAGTGTTTTGTAAAGGTAACAATGCTTTTTCGTTGCAGTTAAAACTGTTTTTGTAGACTGAACATGACAGGAGTGGTCTTTTAAACCTTGTTGTTTCATTTAATAGTTGTTCAGAGAGTTCTGAGCGTGCTACTGGTGTTTGTAGCTGTTATTTGACCCTTTAAAGAAAGTTGTGTTTGTTTTGCTTAGCACAGCATTCCTTTATGTTATGCATTAAGAGACAGTTTTCGTCGCACACAACTGGCAGTCAACGGATGTTTTAAGGGTTCCGTTTTCAAAGAATCTATTTATAGGTTTGTAAAGAAATACGAAAACAGATACTGTGCGTGTTGGTGCAAGCTTGGTGTCAGTGCGTTTCTTGGGACACCTCACTTTCTGTGATTTTGAGTCCTCTTTTGAGTTTAGCTCTCTTGTCAAAATGGGCTTTGTGACTCCTACAAGAAGAGTATGTATTCATTTTTATGATTTATAGTAAATATAGAAGGTTATGTTCTCAAAGACAGAAATTACATTAACTAGCTAGTGCAACTTTTCCAGAGTTTGTAAATGATGGAGAAGCCTATCTCCCACAGGTAGCATCTATTTACTGTGTTTTGTGAAACAGTTTAAAGCCACAAATTCCCACGCAGTAGTTTGTTGGGAGAAATTGATCCTGTTGCCACTTTCTATCTCAAAGGATTCAGACTATAAGAATAGGAAGCAGCCACAGCTACAATGAATCTCTTCAGTGAATTTAGGAGCTGTTAGTGTTGAAGTCAGAGGGGGTTGGGAATGTAGTTGGGAAAATCAAGTATGCAGAAACATATCTTAGATACATTGCTAGCATGATAACAACTTTGTTAATGATCGAACTTTTAAATCCCATTATTATCCTGTCCCTTTGCTGAACACTAAGATCACTTGTGTGTTTGTGATACCAGGCACTTATGCTTTCTGACATCAGTAAAATCTTGCCTTTAAAACTCTCAGGAATTCCACTAATAAATTATTTTGTGCCAACATATTGGATTATGATATCTCTATTAATTTTTTTCAATCACCTGTGTAAATGTGAATTTAGACAGCTAGTTGCAGAGGTACAATGTTCCCTTCTTTTACTCCACCATGTAGAATATCAATTACTTGATTATGAACTGCATTTACTTGCTTCACTATGTCAGCTTAGCACTGACATGAAATTTAATACATATATACCAGCTGTATTGCCTTGTCTTTAATGGGCCCTCTTGTTTGGAAAAATAATTCTTTCCGTTATGTACCAGCATTATTCATTCAATGTATCTTTACCAGACTCCTGTGCTCACTTACATAATAGATTATAAATTTACTCAGCTTTTGCAGATCTTGTAAAATTCTTGCACTTTAGACCCTCTGAGCCATCAAATCAGGTTTCTCTAGCTTTTTGCTCTGTACTCATGTAACGAAAGTTCCAGCCTAAAATATATTAAATATTGATATATTAAAGTTTCTATCAAAATTTCAGTATCTACAGAGGCTTGGTTAACTCATAAGAATTTTGGGGAAAGGAAGACAGAGTTTTGTGCATCTAATAAAAAAGTATTTAATCTGGTGATTTTTCATCTGAGAAATCCATACCTTGACACATTCTGCATGTGAAAATGCAACATTTGCTAAAGTTCTCAAAGTATTTTTGTGAACATTTGAAGAAACACAAGAGTAGTGGTCAACAATTATTATTTCCAAGAAAGGATACCTCTTTTAAGCTTTAAGTAATTCATTGAAAGATAGTTATTGCCAGGTAGACATTGTCTTCACTTATCTCTGCCTGTGAAGAAATGCATGCTTATCTAGAAAGCAACAGTTAAAATTGTGTCCATTGTATATTAATTTTTTTTCCTTAAAAGGAACACAACCACAAATACTGAACTGACATTGATTACCCTGAGCTGTAAGGTGAGACTTGTCTAGCCCGTCTTCTTTTTTCCCTTATCTTGATTTCAGCCATCATTTTGTATTTTAAAGTTGTGATGCATTTGGAGAAGCAATTTCTATAAAAGATTCTAGGGAAAAAAACCCCCAACACTTAACCATAAGCCAGCATGTTTTAATAGGGTTTACATTCCGAGATGTGAATTCTAAGTAGAAAACAGTAATGTATATTACAAACAAGGGAGCTCACTACTCAGAGTTTTTAAGTATGCTTTTCTTTAAAGTCATCATGCATGAGTGGCTTAATATCAAGTGCATAGATGTCCAGATGTAGAAATAATAAGGTACTAACATCTACCTTTTAAAATTTGTGGCAGGTGCTTTTCCAGCATCGGCACTGTACGCACGGAAGGATTTGCTTCAGAGACCCGCACACGTTGCTACCAAAACTTTCCAAGGCCTGCGAATATTTGTCAATGATGAGCTCCACGAACTCTTTATAGGACTGAAGACAGCTGAGAAGTTTCTAAAACCTGGAGGTCGCCTCGTAGCCCTCTCCTTTCATTCGCTGGAAGATCGTATTATCAAACGTTTTCTTCGTGGGATAGACATGACAGAAAAGTACAATCTTAGCTCAAGGCAGAAGATAAGGCAGGCTCTGAAAAACCCCTCCAAAAAAGAAGACACACAAGAATCTCCCCATGGAAAATCCAACTCCAAGTGGATTTTTATACAGAAAAAAGTTCTCACACCCCAGGCCAAGGATGTTCAAACAAACCCAAGAGGAAGGTCGGCCAAGCTAAGAGCTGCTATTAAAGTCTAAACCAAAATATAGGATTAGATAATTGTATAATTTCCTTTAATTTTTTTTTTCTAGAAGGCTAACTGGACAGGTAGTATCAAACTGAAAAAATAAAATAAAGGCTGTTAGAAAACATTTCTTTCTTACCTTTGTGTTCTTTTTAATTAGAATGTAGTATAGAGCATCAAAATGCAAAACAAATGGGTATCAGTGGGTTTCACTAATCATAAAAAAAAAATCTTTTTTTAAAAGAGCATAAAATGTAAAGGTTGTAAAAATTGCAGGTTTGATGTATTTGTAGTACTCCCTTTAGATTATGTTCAAAACCCCGACATTAACTGTCTAAATTCAGTAGCTAATTGAGACAGACACATTTTTAATGGGGGAGGATTTCACACACCTAATTCAGATGTCTGGTCCAGTCTAGAGCAAGTTTAAAGCAAGCTAAGAATTCATGATATATATGTCTCTGTATCCCAACTGACTTGTTGCATGAATGCCTATGGGAAAAGGGCCAGTTCTGAAATAAAGTGACATCAGGATGTCGTGTTCTATCCAGGAGTTTGTAAATGGGCTTTTCTGAGAGATCACCTGGTTGTTTAATGATTAAGAATTCTAAATAATAAATATATCTTGAGGGAAGAAAAGATACTTAGAAGGCCACTTGTTGGCACTTGGACACTCAGTCAAGCAGTCGAATTTGTACTTGATCATCTGAATTTCTTCCTGTAACCATAAATTCTGTGCATAGATCCAGTACAACTTTTAGGTGCTGATAGAATTATAATTAACTTTTCAAAAAAAGGGGAGTATCGTGGTCATATGAAGTATTCTTCTTTGCTGTTGATCATTTTTTAAGAGGTTCTGCTGAGGTAAGTATTGAATTATTTTAGACAAGGCCTACTCTAACACCAGCTTTCAACTTGGGTGCTACACTAGGTAGTAGAACATGTAACATAATTTTTTATTAAGTTAATATGAATTACATTTACCTTTTATATTTTCTTATAAGACCACTGGTTTGCTTGTTTTATATGCTAAAAAAATAAATGGAAAATTGTATAAGTTGCAAATTCTTTGACCTCTGACTTCTTCAGGAAAAAGTCTTAATTTGAATAATCAAATTGGTACCAGGATTTTATTTGTGGTGAGTCTGCAACTTGGTTGGTAGAATAAAAAAGTGCAATTTCTGACTCAGCTAAATGACTACTACACACCAGCTTCTGAAAGATAACTGACTGGATCATTTTGGACTTGATTTTCCTCAAGCATCCTCTTTATATCGGTGTAAATTATTACTTCACGGAAGTTTTTTGGGTCATATTGACACAAACAAGTTGAAATTTAGGTTCACTGTCTGTAATATACGATATATTGAAATAGCTGGATATTGTTTAATTCCTTGGTAAAGCTAAGTCCTATAATGTATTCTTAGCTGATAACATCTATCACTAATCTGAAATAGAAGTCAAATGATGATAGGCATTTCATACTCTTCTGAAATCTCAATATTTTCCCACTAGTTTCGTTATACATGCTATTAAATATTAAATAAAACATTCCACTTCAAATAATATTACTTACTGTTGTCATCTTTGAGACAACAGCCTGTACCCTAAATAGACATTTTTTCATCCAAACATTAAATATAAATAGCTAACGTTATTTTTAGCTGAGATTTCATACTGAGAGGTATCTCAATTGTAGATTTGAAAAATTGTGCCTCCAACACAGGCTTAGAAGAGTTGTAGTGCCCTGCTGTGCGTTGTTCAGGAACACGCCTCAGGGAAAGACCATCCAGTTGTAGCAGAAGTTGAGTATTAGTATCTCAGACATTATATTGAAAGTATTAAAATTCCTTATGCTTAAAACAATGTTTAAAACCCCCACTTCTCACATCTAAATTCAAAAGCACAGTTGCTTATGGTAGCTGAACTGCTGTATTACCAGGTTGTGTAGATGCACTCCCTCAGTTCGGGAGTTTGCCTTTAGCTTGGAGTTGCACAGCCATGGCAGTGTATCCTTTGTTGAGCTTTCCTCTTTGGAGAGTCTGTTGCTCTCCTCTCAGCTTCTCCTCACCTTCAGCTTTAAACCTGAGCTATGGAAAGGATGGAATTTTAACCTCTGCTTGCCTGAGAAAAAAAAAAATTATCATTTCCCAGAAAAACCTCTGGTTGTACTTGGTCAAAGTATTCTTTTCTCTTTAAACATTTCATTTCATTTAATAAAAAAAAGAAGGACTTTTTACAGAGACATGCAGTGATAGGACAAGGGGGAACGGTTTTAAACTAAAAGAACAGAGATTTAAATTAGATGTTAGGAATTCTTTACTCAGAGGCACTGGAACAGGTTGCCCAGAGAAGCTGTGGATGCCCCATCCTTGGAAGTGTTCAAGGCCAGGTTGGATGGGGGTTGGAGCAACCCGGTCTAGTGGAAGGTATCCCTGCCCATGTCAAGGAGTTTGGGAATTATTCCAACCCAAATCCTTCCGTGATTCTATGATTTAGTAAGTGACATGTTATGTGAAGGGTATTAGGTCTTTATCTTCTTACCAGGACACATGTCTACATAGTGCATATTAAATTTTCCCAGTGTGGTATATATGAAATATTACTAAAACTAAACATTTTGTTTTCCATAATAGAAAACTATATTTATGAAAGAGATGGTATCTGGTGGAAAATTAACCAAATCATGCTGTCAAGGCTCAGGTTGTGTGTAATTTCTGAAAACTTCCATTCAACCTGAGCAATGCACGTTTTAATACAGCCAAATGCAAGGTTATCTGTCAAGAAAGAAAAAAAAAAAAGATTGTAGACCATGTTTGCAGGGAATATGGCAATAATATGGTGCTGTACACAATGGGATGAGTAGAAACTTCCAATATGTGAAATAATTGTAGAGAATGTCAAGTGGTAATTATGGTGAGGCAGTGGTGTTGCCAAACAATATGTGCATGAGGGCGTGTTGCTAAAGAGTGTATCTTTTCATGTTACTAGTTTAGAAGGGTGTGGGAAAATTTTAAGAAGGATAAAAACCAACTACGGGACTGTTTGTATGCATTTTAAACATACTTTTCTATTGAAATTACTAGACAGTGGGATTTAATGAGTTAATCCATGTGAAGTAGAAAGTTGATATGCTGTCAGAAGTACCTGCCTGGTAAAGAGATTTGCATGGAATAATTATTTGAAAACTAGGCCCACTTATCCTGTGAATAAAGTATTTATGGTAAAAATACAGTACTTTTTTAAAACATAATTTTACAGTTTAGGCACAATTATCTGCATTTATAGCCCACAAGGACCTGCCAACAAGTATTACTTCCCTATTGCTTCCTCAAGAAAAATAATCAGTTTCGTTGTTTCAGAGTGCAAGTAATATAAGGAATTAATATCTCTTCAGTTTTGGTTTGGGGTTTTTCGTGTTGTTGGGGTTTTTTTTTTTAACTTTTGCAGTTGAGTATTTTCTCAGTAGTCTTTTACAGCCACAGCTGCTGGGATTGCCGCTTGACTTGAAAGAAATCCCAGCCTGAAACATCAGTCTTTGTAAGGACGTGCGGAGGTTTTGATGGATGGAAGTTGGAAGGAGGGGATTCCTAACGGGGAAAATGCTGACTTCAGGGAACAGCAGGAGCAAGTGGCTCTTCTAGTAGCAAGTGTTGTGTCAGATGTTTTGCATTCTGCTTTCGAGAGTAGCGTTTCTATGATGATAAATGATTCATATAATTGCTCTAATGTCATTTTTTTTTTGTACTGGAGAAGGCACGGTTTTAATTGGATGGTTTATGCTCCTAAAGAGTGTAACAGCACAGTGAGAGGAGCTCTGCCCTGGGGAAAGGTGATGTGCAGGGGTGGGATGATTTCAATAAGCAGCCCTAGACGCAGATTGTTGATGATTTGATTAAATTTTAAAAGAACTTAGTTGTTTTAAATAATCGGTTGTGACTCACTGTTTTGAGTATCGCTGTACAAAAGTACTGGTGAAAAATGAGACAAATGTGAATAAACAGAGAAGTAATGAACTTGTAAGTTAATTTGTTGCTGCCCATCTTACTTAACCTCTAGCAAGACTAGGGAAGGGGTTCAGGCCCGATTTTCTTATGCCTCAAAATTTCTCCAGAAAGAGCCCTTCAATAGGTTTAGAACCATTTATACCAGGATTAAAAACAACATTCAGCGGAGTATGTGAGTCAGTCTTTATATCCATAGATTTATTTTTTCATAAAGCACTTGCTTAAAACTAATGTGGAAGTTATAAAAATATGAGATTATATTTATAAGTCTTTCAGAAATATAATCAAATGGGGAGGCCTTTTTACACTGGAGTTATACTGGAATTAAAGCAGGATTTTGAGGATTAATTAAGAGTGCAGTGCTACAGTGAATCTTTCAAACAATTTAAATGAATGTAGAGCAACTTCTTTTACCTTCTTACCTTCTCCAGCCTCTGCAGAAGATGGAAGAAAAAATTATGTTTAATTAAAAGGCAAGAAATAAGCAGTAAAGTTGAACAGTTTAGAAAGAAATGTGATTTATGAGGTTGACATCCAACTTTTTAAAAATTCATATATGCAGTGTTCTATTACTTTTTCCATTCATTGTTTAATTTTGCCTGTTTGGGGATAAGCAGTAGCCGTGAGAGAGCTCAGTCTGTGTACTGGGTGGAGAACGTGGTTTCTAGTGCATAATCAGAGGTAATAGTGGGAAGGTATATATGCTTCTAAGTCCAGCTCTGTATATTTTTCCCTCTGTCTCCTTTGCAGTTAGAATTGTATTTATCTTTCTGGCTCCTCTGTAACCTTATCCCAGGTGAAGGAAAGAGAAGGGCTTTTCCTTTTTGGAAAAGTGTAATACCTGTCCTTAGAACTTTATTAAAGGTAATGCTGTTTAATACTTCTCTACTTGACATATTTCACTGATGACGTGTCATGTTTTTCAGTATTGCCATTACAGCCCTAAGACAGGAAAACAGGTGAACATTTGCTCATGGGAAACCAAAGCTAAAAAACAGAGCAAGGGGTCAGTTAACCTGAATCTCTTACTGTACCAACATAGCTGTATTTATAAAAACTAAAACTTTTTCATTGCACCTTGATCTTTAGGCAAATCATATTCTCCCTGTTGCTTTTACAA